CGGGTTCACAGGAGTCTATTGAACATTGTAGGCCTTAGCTGGCAGCTTCATTGCTGTTTTTCCCTCACTTCCCCTTATCGGTGATGAATATGGTAACCAATCAGAGTATATGTCTGCCCATGTATTCCCATTGAGTCTTAGTCTTAGATGGGGGTTTGCCCTAATAGTCAGTTTTTTAATTGCTTTACTTTTACTCTCTTATCTACCACTCCTGAATTAAGACTTTTATATATCACTAAAAAAATAAAAGAATCGTGCCAGATTAAGCTGAAAACAAAAGGAGAAAAAGAAAAGTACAAGTAAATTTATTACTGATATAAATTTAAGCTGAAAATGTACTGTTATGCGAACAATAAAATATGAGAGAGTGTTGCTGAACAATGCTATCTCAATTTTGTGAAATATGCATTTTATACACATGTGTAAAGACACCTTGAAGCACTTCCCAATGAAAGTAAAAGGAAGTCTTTAGTGTGGATTGCATTGGAACATAAAGAAAACTCAAATCCTTACAACTGAGCCAATAAAAAGCATTGTGATAAATGAAGAAGTGATCAAATATTTCATTCTTATTGGATCAATAACCAACACCTTGTGGGAGCAGCAGTCAAGAAATTAAATGACACATTGTATTAAGCACATCTGCTGCAATAGACGATCTTTAAAGCGTTAAGAAGCACACATGCCAGTTTGATGACTGACGTACTCCTCATCCCCAGTTCATGGTATCGTCAGTAACCTTATATGCATCTGAAAGGTGAAGAGGAGAGAAGAATTCAGTTTGTGTGTTGGCAAAGAACATTCACTAATCCATGGATGATTAAGGAGCTCTGGTAGTATAGTGGTTATGAGTTGGGTTGCTAACCTCAAGGTCAGTAGTTTGAAACTACCAGCTGTTCCACAAGAGAAAGATGAGGCTTTCTGCTCCCGTAAAGATTTACAGCCTCGGAAACCCTATGCAGGGTTGCTATGAGTTGGAACCGATTCCACAGCACACCACCACCACCACCACCACCACCACCATCGGCAACTAGAAGGATGAACAAAGGGGGAAGTCTAGCTAGAATGTTTCTTAAAGGTAAGGTTGACAAGACTTTGTCTCACATTCGGTATGCTAATTAGGAAGGACAATTGCTGAAGGAAGACATCATGCTTGGTAGAGAGTCAGAAAAAAACAGGTAGACCCTCCGTAAGATTGATTAATTCAGCGACTGAACAGTGGATTCAATCACAGCAATGATTGTGAGGATGGCATAGGGCCAGGTTGCATTTCATT